TTGGTAGATGAAAGGGAAATAGTCTCTTTACTTTCTGTGTTAAAATTTTACAGTGTATGTGTGTTTGTTTGTTTCTTACAATTTTGATCTTATATTCCTCAAGGGAGAATGACTCAAAAGCCCAATTTTTGTCCTAGCCGGTTTGGCTCAGTGGATAGAGCATTGGCCTGGGGACTGAAGGGTGCCGGGTTTGATTGCAGTCAAGGGCACATGCCTGGGTTGTGGACTTGATCCTCAATAGGGGGCATGCAGGAGGCAGCTGATCAATGATTCTCTCATCATTGATGTTTCTGTCTTTCTCTCCCTTTCCTTTCTGAAATCAATAAAAATATATATATTTTTAAATCTACTAGGTATTCCATACTTAATATTTTTTCAACTTAAAATACATTTCAATCTGTTGAAAATTACTGATTACTGTTATACCTCTTTTTTCCTGATTTGTACTCTTAGGGTTTTCTTCCTATTTAAGTTATGTTCTCTAAAGTTATACTTTCATATTTCAATATATATTATATAGTAGATATTACTCAATACCTATTCATTATGTAGTATTCAATATATATTAAATTTATCTTGTGAATATTAATTAAATCCCATGTATTTCAAAGTTGAAATTTCTGATTAAAAGCCTTTAATGCTATACTTATGCTTTTTTCACACTGAGTACTTGCTCTGAAATTAATATTTTCTTTAGTTTATAAATGCACTTTTAAAAATTTCGAGACTTCAATGCTGTTATGTGATTTTGCGTGAGAACTCAGTGTTTATATAAAATATTGTTCACTTCCTGGTGCCTTGGATCAGAGTGAAGGAGCAAGCAAATCCTGGGTAAGTGGTTTTCCATGTGGGTCAGCTCCTGCTTGAACACTTTCCCTCAGTCCCTAGGAATTAGACTGAAACCGTCTCACCATGTTTTATGTACCTGAACTGTCAGTTTCTTTTCAATGTGAAGTTTCATGTTATTGAGTGCTGTTATCTGGACCATGTTTTCTGTGTTCAGTTAAGGTGAAACACTGCCAGTTAAGGTGCATATCCTGCTTCCAGTGCAAATCTAGGGACTTGGGAGCATGAGCATCAAAAGCAGCAACTATGTGCCAGTCTGCAGAGGGTTTTACTCATAAGCACATTAATGGCTTTCCCTGGACAACTCTCATGGCATGTATTTGTTACAAATACATGCTATGAGTCCATGTTAATTGACCTTCTAAATAACTATTCTAAGAGTATCATGAATCAGAAGATCAAAATAATGGTGAAGTAAACATGTAAATGTCGTCTTGTAAACGTAAAATGCACTCTTGCCCCTACATGCTGCATTGTTTCCTTAAGATGTATCTGTTTGTGGAGGCTTAGCAATAAGAAAAACGAGAAAATGTGTTTGATTTTTTGCTTGCTTGCTTGCTTGCTTTTATTTACCTGTTGGTAAGACAGAGAATGGCAAATAGAGGTCTGTGTTGGGGTATCCAGTCAGATTAGAAATGATGAGAAAGAGAAATTTTTAAAGTTACTCATTTGTTTATTCTTTTATTCATTTCATTCAACTGACCATATATGAAACACGATGCAAGGTGTGGAATAGCAACATGGAAGTAGCCCTGGCCATGTTCCCAGGAAGCTCATGATCTGACTCATGAGATGAGCAGTGTTTATGAGGAAACAGTTAAGCGGACCAGGCTGTAGTCCATTCACATTGGAACGTGGATGGTGCAGATTCCAGGGCTCTGGTTATTCAGAGGAACGGAGGAGCTCAGGAGGAACTGAGCCTTGAATTAGGCCTGAATATACAGCAGAAGCTCATAGGGAAGGACCTGATGTTAACATGTCAAAAGTAAAATACAGCAAAGTTATATCAACTTTGCATCCTTTGGGTTAAATATTTCCTTCCTTCATCAAAACATATTTACTCACATCTAGACCTAGAGCCTCAATAGATTTTTGTTGTTCTTATATTTTTTTAACCAAAATGCTCAATTTTATCCTCAAAAGATGTAAAAAATAATTTGGTACTATAAAGATGGTTAGTTATACCCTATTCACAACAATTCAGTTCTTCTAATTATCACAGCATTTTGGCTATGTTCACACTCTAGTGTCAATCTCTACCTTCCCATTGAACCAATCCTACTCCCATCACCTCTGAGGCTGGTCTTTCTGTGCAACTCACTGTAGCCTTAGCTTAAACATTTAAATTGACTGTCAGTTCACTCTTTGAAGAATCACTCTCCATGGTTAGACCACTGCAGAGCTATCTGGAGAATGGCAGAAACATGGAGTGAACAGGAAGCATTAGTCTAGGAAGAGGAGGTATCAGTTCATTAAGGACCACACAAAGGAGTTGAGATTTATCTTGTCAATGTTAGGGAGGCCTTAATTTTAACTAATGAGTGCAATCAGAATTTCAGAAATTGGAAATATTGCTACATGTTTTTGTATATTAGAAAGATTATTGGTACAGTATGGAAGATAGATAGAATTAAGGCAAAATCAGTTGGGCAGACTCTAAGATGTTTAAGATAGTGCAGGCCTGAACTAGGGAGGTGACAGGGTGTGTAGAAGGAAGGGATTAATTTCAAAAACACTGAGAGGGAAGAATCAGCATGGATCAGAGATCAACTGAATAATATTAGAAAGGGACAAGGAGATAGAGTCAAAACTAATTTTTAGGTTGTTTACTTGCATAGATGGTAGTTCTTTCCCCAAGAGAGGGACTACAAGAGGAACTGATTTGGCAAGGGTAAATAATGAGTGGTTTTTGTGGAGACTGATGTGACTGTGGGAAATCTAATAAGTAATTAGGTATGTAGATCTTGAGCTCAGGGGAGAGGCCTGGGCTGGAGAGAAAGATAGATACTCCAGTATGTCACTGAAGTTATAGATGTTGATAAATTGTGTTTTCAGTCAGAATAAAAGAGGGTCAATGGTGCTGCCACAGAGAACATAAATAGAGGACAGGCTGGAAAAAAAAAAAGAGGATCCTTTGATGGAAACCCAGGGAGGTAGCTGAAGAATCTAGATAGCGATGACCATTGAGATCAAGGTTAAAGAGTTTTGATAAAGTCAATAAGGAAATGGTTAGCAGAATCTGATTTATTTTTTTTTAAATATATTTTATTGATTTTTTACAGAGAGGAAGGGAGAGAGATAGAGAGTTAGAAACATCTATGAGAGAGAAACATCGATCAGCTGCCTCCTGCACATCCCCCACTGGGGAAGTGCACGCAACCCAGGTACATGCCCTTTGACCGGAATCGAACCTGGGACCCTTCAGTCCGCAGGCCGACGCTCTATCCACTGAGCCAAACCGGTTTCAGCTAGCAGAATCTGATTTAGCAGCAAATAACATATAGACTGAACGCAAATAAGGAGACATTGAAGGTGGGAAACAATTAACTGATAGAGCCATCATTTGATTGGCCAACTCTAATTTTATTGTCCCTCTTTTAATATAGCACTTAGAATTGAAGCAGATGTTAAATAACTTTAGAACATTGAGACAGTTGTTCTGAATGTTTCTATATTAATATAACTTCACATTGCGGTGTGAATTTAGATAGCCTAAAGACATCTTTGATCCACATTCAAATGTCATCAGTTAAATCCCCAGATATTTATTTTATGACCCATTAGCAAGTCAAATCTCCCCACAGGGAAGGAAGTAGATAGACTGTATTTAAATAACTTCTTAAACTAGTCTAACATCTTTAAAGCATATTTTTTATTTGACATTAGTCCTATTTGATATATATCTTATTATTAAAATGCTGTTTTTCAATAAAGCTTTAAAATATACCAACTTGGCAAATTCCATCCTTTTAGAAGGCACAAAGTATATAATATACATGAAATTAGCATTCTTCACTACATGCTCAGCCTAAATTGTTGCCTGCCTTGGGCATGTAATAATTTGCAAGACTCAATAGTATAATGAATCCCTCTTCTAAAGTGATGTTTCTCCCCTGATCTGTGTGTACACAAAGGCATACATAATTCTGTTGTTTTACCTCCATGAAACTTTAAAAGTAACTTTCACACCTGAGAGACAGTACAGATGCTGGATTCAAGCCTGTAGGACAGACCATTGTATGTGACATCTAGCCCTTTATAAATGACTTTATTTCACAACAGCTATAGTTTTGTGTTTCAATGAATGTAAAATCCTGGAAACCAAATTCAAGTCATATCAATAAGACTAAGGTAACCTCAGCACTCCAGATTACTATACTAATAAAAGATTCAACTTAACTTGAGTCTGTCCTTAATACATTATACTTTATTACTGTTATTAATGTGATTTCTGGCCCCAGAATTTGTGCACAGCTTATGCTAAATGCAGTGGGTGTTGTGTCTATACAAATATGAGCATCAGAATATGATCCTTATATTCCATCTAGAATTACTGTACTTCATTAAACCAAAATGCCACCAATTGTTAGATGGACCATCATTTTGTGCACTACTAAGAAACAAAAACTGCTGTCAATTAAAGTGATTCGGTGCTTCAGAGGTGTTAAATGTGGGGGGAAATGTGCATCTTAGAATTAATGAACTGTGGTGTGAATGGAAATGTAAGCAAAATTTTTTTTTATTTTTTATTTATTTATTTTTTTTAATTTTTTATTACAAAGAGTATTACATATGTGTCCATTCCCCACCCCCCGCCCTAGACAGTCCCCTAGCCTCCACTATCCCCCAGTATCTTATGTCCATTGGTTATGCTGTAAGCAAAAATTTGGCTTAAGCATTGCCTGTCCTCGGTGGCTCAGTAGTTGAATGTTGACCTATGAACCAGGAGGTCAACGGTTCGATTCCTGGTCAGGGCACATGCCCAGGTTGTGGGCTAGATCCCTCGCGGGGCATATGCAGAAGGCAGCCGGTCAATGATTCTCTCTCATCATTGATGTTTCTATCTCTCTCCCTCTCTCCCTTACTCTCCGAAATCAATTTAAAAAAATTAAAAAAATAATTTGGCTTAAGGCACCGAGTAGCATAATTAAAATTCCAATCATAGAATTTACCATCCTTTCTATCTATAGCATTCACATATCCCAAATAAATATTAAATGCTGAGCTAAAAGTTCCATATATATTTGTTTGTTTCTGAATTCAAAAAGAGTTTCCTGAGACTTGGCTGAATTTTTTCTGTTCAACGATATTCTTCATGGAATCTTTTAAATCTTTTTGTTTGTTTAGCTATACAGTAGCTTCAAATTAATATAATTATCAACATGAGTTGGCAATATTAATTAAGCCCTTAACCCTTTGGTCCATGGCTGATATCTATAGTCTAAGAGGTAAAACTGAATGCAGAAATCATTATGCTCTTGACCATTCATGGCAGCTTTATTTAGTCTAGTAAAATTCAGTAACAGCGTAAGTGCCAATAATAGGAAATAATTGCTTATTATGCAGCTATTAAAATCATGTTTATGAATATTTTGCACCATAAATGTTTATATGCAGAGACTAAGTGGCATGTATAACATGAAGTATGTACCATTGCATAAGCTAAAAAATACATAAGAAAAAATACACCAAGCTATCAATGGTTGGTTGATTATTAAGGTATGAGTTTTTAAAAATATATTGCTACTTTTTGCATTTTCAAAATATAGCATAGTATAAACTATACTATAAATATACTACATTTTCCAAGTATATGTATTTTTTCATTGAAAGAAACAAGGTTATTTTAAAGAGATATCCAGAATTTGATTCTTGGTAGCTCTAACTGGGACAGTTTCCATACTCATTTTCTCATTCCTTTTGAACCAGTTTTGCTTTGACCCAAAGAGTTTACGTCTCTGGTTATTCCATCTTGCCCTCTGTTTTATATCCTTTTCCAGCCATCAGGCCTTCCCAGAACCCACAATTCCACTCAGTAAAGAGTATGTATGCCAAAGGAACACCCAGCCTATGGCAAATGTTCACCCATTACCTGGTTGGGTGGATGAATGGTAGTTCATAGCCAGAGAGATGGAGATTGGGGCAGTTGACTCTGGCTCACATCTTCAAGGTGATAACTTCTTTAATAGCTTAGGAAGGAGCTGTGTATTTCTTGGATATACTAGACTTGAGTGTGTATGAGATGTTGGGGAAATGCACATACCATCTGGAGAGTTTTAGTGAAGTCCAAGTTCATTAACAAAGGCAAGTAGTGAGAGTAAGTACAGAACCTGCCTGGTGAAGAATCTAGGCAGAGTTCCTGAGCCTCCCTGTTAGGCCTCTGGTCCTACATGCCGCTAGTAGACCAATGTTACTACTGACGAGTCCCCATAGCTTTTCTTGCTCGTTGGCTGATGGGAGTGGCTGGGGATCTGCCTCCTTTTTCCTTGCTTCGTCCAGACTCCTTGGGTGCATTCCATACATTATTTCTGCCATAACCTGGCATCTTCCATATTAATTATCATTAACAGCATCATTTCACTGAACATACCTGTATTCCTCAATGTTCCCAAGGCCTCCGAGATATAATTACAGAGAAAATAGTTGAGTTTTAGGGAAGGAAATAATAAATGTGGTCCTGAGCACTGCCTGACAGCTCTACACCACAAAGCTCACTAGTTATAGCAAATATCAGAAACAGTCCTTAGGGGAGGCCAGGGGAATGTCAAGTGGGGGATGAGGGGAGGGGGGAAGGAGACATATGTAATACTCTTTGTAATACTTTAAGCAATAAAAACATAATAATACTAATTAAAAAAAAAAGAAAGAAACAGTCCATACGATCGAGGCAAAAGGAGGAGCTTCCGGGGAAGATGCACAGAAGTGGGCTGTTGCATGCTCAGTTGTATGCTCACACTTTCTGCCACTGGGGTTGTCAGAGTTGGAACAGTATATTTATTTCCATGCATTTTTGTGCTGTGTAAAACTTTTTTCTACCACTGCATATATATTATTAATAAAATATTCCTTTAAAAATATTAGCTCATTCCTTATGGGTATTAATGGTTAGAGGTTATCTTGTGTGCCTTCATGCATATCTGTAGGCAGAATCACATTCAGTGAATATTGGACAAGATGAGGGCTTAAATGAGAATTTCACTTTTTTAAATATCCAGAGCAAACAGTTCTACAAAATGTTTCTTATAAATGGCAGACCTGTGTTTAAAACTCCCACCCTAAGAAAAACCATTACTTAACCTTGCCCTTGAGTTTTTGTGGGGTTGTTTCATGAACTCTGTTCCACTGGTAACAGAGAGTACAGTCACTTTGGAGGAACTATTAGTTGAGGTTTGTATGAAACCCTGAAATCAAGACTGTGATTCTGCAAATAAAACCATCAAACAACCTACCACAAGGCCTTCAACGTCCAAAACAGCAAAATACATCTGGTTTCAATTATTTCAGTAATTAAGACAACTTTCAATATATACTTTGAACAGAGTAATAATGAAAGAACAAATAAGCACATGTGTAGTAGTGGCAGTGGATAGGAATAATCAGTATTTTCTCTTTAAATGCTAAGTGAGATTTTGTTCCAAGAAAAATGACCCTGCCCTAGCTGGTTTGGTTCAGTGGATAAAACGTGGGCCTGTGGACTGAAAGGTCCCAGATTCGATTCCAGTCAAGGGCACATGCCTGGGTTGTGGGCTCGATCCCCAGTTGGAGGCATGCAGGAGGCAGCCAATCAATGATTCTCTTCATCATTGATGTTTCTATCTCTCTCTCCTCCCTTCCTCTCTGAAATTAATAAAAATATTTTTTAAAAAGAAAAATGATCCTGACCACCTTTGCGGAATGTAGACATTAGAATTCTTCCCTTGAAGCACGTGGTTTATTTATTAAAACTGGACACGTATTTCCTCCTACCTGCAAATGTAATGACTATATCCATCTTTAATCCATCAATACTTGACTGTCCATCAGACCAAGTGTATTATATTTTACTGACCAGTTCTAAAGACTTTATACAAAAGCCAAAAGCTGTGAGTGAACAATTTTCTTCTCAATAAACAGAAGCTGGATTGAAGGGAGAGAACAGAGACCATTCTGTGTTCCATGCTCAAGGTCTATGCACTCCACCATGCAGATGTGACATTAGCCACTATACTTTATCCTGGGTGTTTTAATAGGCACCGACTTATAATTATATGGCATTTGTATATTGGTTTATTGTGTTCACTGGGCCTTGTCCTGGAAACCCGATGTGACTCTGGTTAGCTACATCTCTCATGTATATGGAGGATGCTCCCCTGCATCGATCGGATGCATGCACCTTTGTCCACGGGCTCCTGTAGGGAGCCGTGCTGTGCGGAGCTGCTCTCCAGGCCGTGTTTTACTGGTGCTGAAAGCAATGTGATACAGATAACCTGCAGTTAGTTTCCTTTCTGTGTTCTGTTCATTACGCTTGTCCGTGTCTCTGCTGTTCAGTGAAGGCACCTTTTGGTTCTGCTGCATTGTCATATGTACTAATTACGTGCTCCTTTCACCAAACTGAAAAATAATTCTCTAAACTATAAAGCCAATTCATTGTTCATTTCAATTCCAAGTAATTTTTAAGGTAACAATCTGGCTTTCAAACTTTAGAGACTAGAACAAAAAAATTTGAAAGAATTAATAGCTTTAATCCCCAGGTCTAAAATGTAATATATATGTGGTGGTAGATGGGCGTGGGTGTAACGGGCCTGACCTAAGGGAGAGAAAATTCCATGAATCGTTTTTATGAAATCCAAGACCTCTTTCAACCCTCTAACCTACTGAGTAGTAGTCTTATATGACACAAAATGAATCTCTTAATTCTGAGCAATTTGTTTCCTTTTTACCAGTAGGATCAGGCTTATGATGACTCCAAAAGTTACAGCTAAGGACATCATAGTCTTTGTTGTCTGAAATGTACCTGTGTGCTTGTTCTGTATTATGCTTGCTTATTAACTTGAAATTACATGTGCGGTTTTTGTTGTTTTAAGGCACTCAACCAGAATGCTGAACTAAGGAGTCGGTTGAGCAGAATACACTCAGAATCTATTATTTGTGATCAGGTTGTCAGTGTAAATATTATTCCTAGCCCTGATGAGGTAAGGCTCAATTTTAATAGATGTGGAGTACTTATTTTATAGCATCTAAATCTGCATATTTTGTTTATTTTTATACTGTTCTTTCACTATTAACATCATTCCCTGCATAAATATTTGTGTTGCTGGCAGTTCAGTATTCTTTGGAGGGAAGGGTGTACATGAGCTTGACATTCTTGGGGATCAGGGTCTATTTCTCTATTCCTACGTTCACCGGATGCCACCGAATATTTAGTGTATGTCTACTCCATCTGGTGAATTTTCTGTATCTGTCTCAGCCTTCATTTGAAATGTTCATATTATGAAATGGCTCATGCAGTGTTTTTTTTTTTTTTTAGTGTTTAGCTGAGAAATTGCTAAATGAACATTTTCTTAAGGTTTATTTTTAAAGTCCTATCTAACTAGTCATCTGACCTTTCTAAGATAATACGAATGCCGCTATTGCTGCTGCTGATGATAATTAATAGCTAATGTGTGTTGAGTGAATGCTTATTATGTGCTGGGCGTTGTGCTAACCCCATTACATGTTTTATCTCATTTGACACTCCCAATAACCCTCTGAGGCAGGTGCTCTTATTCCATTTTTTCAGAAGAATTTCTGAAGAAATGGTAAGAGGATAGGAGAACATTCAGTATTTGGGCTAAACTTGAATGTGTAATTATTTTTTAACACTTTTTAAAATTATTGTTTTATCACATGAGAATTAACACTTCACAACAGTGATATTAGACCTTTAGATATAGTCCTACATACAACAAGGTGAGAGTTTTACCTAATATGAAGGTCATATTTGTGCCAAAAACATTTTTACTAGAAATCTACAAGTGCAGCAGTTCTCCCATCTAACTCCTTGAGAAATGTCATTTCAAGGCAGCTTCTCTAAAGTTGCCCACCTGCCTGGTACCCATGATCTCTGATGACACTAATGCTCACTCAGCTGCCCAGAAATAATCTAGAAGTATTTCTAAAACTCGATCATTTAAATATTAGTTAGCAGTCTCAGCTTGAATATTTTTAAACCTGAAATGTTTACTAGAATGTACATATGTAGAATGTATATATTACAGTTCTCTTACACATATTTTAATGGAAACTTAAATATCTTCGTTGAGAATTATATTTATCACTGACTGAATGAAAAATACAGTTTGAAATAAGGTTTAATACTCTAGTCATGTTTCCTTGCAAAATGACTTTTGTATATTCTGTTTTAAAAATTAGTCTTGTAGATTGTTTTCTTAGAATATTTATAGTGTTTCTTCAAATACTTTTTGAGGTTTAGTATACTAGTTGGAATATAACTAGTAATGACAGACATAAGTATATGAGAATGAACTCGTTACTATAGTCAGTTTGGGGTATTGATAGGGACCCAGTTTGTTAAATTCCACTTAATACTAGGCATAAATTTGAAATCAAGTTATGGTATCAGCACCTTTCAACTATGCCTTTTAGATTCTTTAGACATATTGAAGAACATTTATGCAGTCATTTCTGAGTTGCAAGTGAAAATTACTTGTGGTCATCACTCTTTTAACATATGGTATGAAATTCTCTAGAAATCTGGGTAGCACATCATGGTCTAATTTGAACAAATAGCTATTCTTTGTACCAATAATGATTGCACCATATGCTTCTCTCTTCTGTAGCCTGGCGAGCAAATCCATGTCAGTCTCCCTCTGTCACAGCAAGTAGCAAATGAGAGCCGCCTCTCCATGTCAGAATCTGTCTCTGAGTTCTTTGATGCCCAGGAAGTGCTCCTCTCTGCAAGCTCATCAGAGAATGAGGTAACGTTCTTTGGGGTGTTAGCCCCAACAGTGAGTTCGTGTTAAAGAAAGTGAGATTCTGGGACTTTTTTTAACATCATTGTAAGATATCCAAGTTGTAACAAAGGCAAAAGCATGAAAACTATGTTGGTTCCTATTTACTGAGCACTTAATGCTTCTGAACATCAACTTATGACACTTAAATTTGATGCATAAAGGGAAAGAATCAAGCACTTATTCTAATTTTCTTGTATGATTTATATTTTAGAGTAACCAAATAGTTGATTATATAGAGTATTATATAAAAGGAGACTAGCTAATCATTGTAGAAAGAATAAAAGAATTTGAGTCATCATTCATGCTTGCACATGTATTTTATAACACTAGAGGCCCACTGCACAGATTCATGCACTGGTGGGGTCCCTCAGATTGGCCTGAAGGATCAGGCCAAAACTGACATTCTGACATCCCCCTAGGGGTCCCGGATTGTGAGAGGGTGGAGGCCAGGCTGAGGGACCCCACTGGTGCATAATCGGGGCCGGGGAGGGACCACAGGAGGGCTCGAGGGCGTGTCCAGCCCATCTTGCCCAGTCCCAATCAGCTGGACCCCAACAGCAAGCTAACCTACCAGTCAGCACGTCTGCCCCTGGTGGTCAGTGCATATCATAGTGACTGGTCAAATGGTCGAATGTATGGTCAGACACTTAGCATATTAGGCTTTTATTATATAGGATAGGATATTATGTATAAAGATATCTTAACCAGAGACGTGAATTTGAACTGAGAAGGATAATGTCTAGCATATTTAGTTGGGTAATTATGGTCTGGGGAGGTTACCACTGACTATCATAAAAGCTTTATTGGATTGTTTTCATGCCTATGAGTCTTGGCAAGGTTGTGGCAACAAGGAATCTCTTATTTAGTCAGGTTTCAGAAATGTATTCTTTTACTGAAATTTAGTCAAGTAGGCTTTATTATTATTACTATTATTATTATTATTATTATTTTGGCATGGGAGAAGCAGCCAAAAGTTTGCCCACACAGTTGATTAGCAATATTATCATTTGAGATTGCAAATCTGTACTGCATTTTGACCAAAAAAAAAAAAAAAAGAAAGAAATAAAATAGTTGCTAAATGCTATTTTTATATGCATAGATTATAGTTTGGAAGAAAACATTCTGACAATTAGTAGTAGTTGTTTTTGGATATTTGTAATTACTAGTGATTTTAGAAATATAAATGAGTGGAAAAGAGAAAGAAATAATGAGCACATATATCACTTTTATAATGGAGGAAAGGTAAAATAGAAATCTTATGTCAGGCACTAAATTTGATATGCACCTGCCTCCCAGGTCCCTAATCATGCATTACCAGATTCACAGACTCCCATTCACAACTGAGTACTTGTTTAATTATTCATAGTGATAATTGATGCTATCA